ATATATAATTTATTCGTTTTCAATTATTGTATTTTTTTAATTTAATTATGTTTAAATTAGTATGTTTTTCATCACTTCTGTTGAGACATATTTTAAAAAAGACGGAATCTAGGCTACCTCACTAAAGTGTCACAAAATGTCACTTTTATGGATATTTATGAAATTATAGTGAGGAAGCGTACATAGCATCATGCGACGTCAATTTCCATGTAAATTGTGTTCTCAACAGATATTTGGCGCCAAACCACCGGAGGTGCGCTTGGAAAACGCGGTTCAGCTGCTCATGGTCTCTCCAGCGTTTGGCTCGTGGGCGGCCTCCTGCTCACCGCGCGCGCTCGAGCCGGAGACTCTGGGTTCTCCAGCTCGAGGGCGGGGAGTGGGAGGCTTCTGATGCTGAAGCTGCTCCTCATGGAACCGATCAGAATCTAACAGAAGCGGGGAGAGCAATATTACTCAAAAACATGTCGTCATGGAACCAGACGCCGCTTTCCTGTTGCGCAAAGGATGCAAATGATCAGCTGGCATTCAGGGCAACCTGTGCCATTTAAACATGGGGAAGTGTGAAATCTTTGCAACATAATCTGTATAAGACCAGAATTATGCAATATAAAAGTGATGAATTATGTGTTTTTCTAAACCATGTGCTCTAAAGTACCTTGCAGGTATGTTTCCAAAGAAGATATAGATCTACCAGTGCTATCTTCTTTTCCACCATGTGTTCAGATGTCAGGTACAGATGTGTCACCTTAAAGGCAGAGTAAGTGATTTCTGGTAGCCAATGTTGATATTTGAAATCACCAAAACAAACATGCCCCTACCCCAAAAGTGTCTTGCCCCTATTTTGATAGCTCAGCCCCACATATACGTACGCAACCCAGGCAACGATTAGTTCTGTGAAACAAAGCAAAACCAATATTACACCGTGTCTACGGACGTGAGCGGCGCGGCGCAACAAATCCCCGACAGAAAACTGCTGCCGGGTTCTATTTATGACGTGCTGACACCGATTTCAAATGGTTTTCAACGGTCGTTTGACCTCTTTCTCGCGTCCAGTGTAGGCAGACTTTAGTTGTTGTAGACACGGTGTTACTCACCTATTGAGAAGAAACAAAGCAACCTCGGCGTCCGATCGCAGGCCTCCGCTCCTTGAGTTCTCTCCAGCACTGGAAAGCTGATCCAATATTTTACACGGGTCCTACTTCTTGCCTTATCGTTCCGCAGACGTTTTCCTCTTTTGTTTTTTATCCGCCATCTCTATCTTTCTGTCGCTCGGCTCGGCTAATGTCCGTCCCATGCACTGAAAGCTCTCTCCTCCACATCACGAGTAGACACGCCCCTTATTGCTGATTGGCTACAAGATTGTTTTGCTATTCGGCCCGAATCAGTTTTCTGAAGTGTTTTTGAAAAATCACATATCCTGCCTTTAATGTTCAAATAACTCAAAAAAAACAAATAACTATTATTTATTTCAGTTTCACCCTTGGCTTCGACATCACAACTGGGAAAACCCTCTGATGTGAGTCTGAAGGAGAAAAATGTGTTTCCATGAGCAGGAGCATGAGTAAAGGTTTCTTCTCACATATCCACATGAAATAGAGAGATTCACTGAAATGCATACATTTGTAATGTCAGCTTCAATCCCCTGCCCCAACCCACACAAATCTATATACACTTTCAGCTCACAGCATCTGCATTATCAACCATTATGATTTATTCACCATATTACCATAAATTTGTCTCTAAAATATTTCACAAATCCAAACACAGCATCTTACACCTCTTTCACATGCATATTCTGATTTGTAGAAAAATGAAAAATAAAGTCCACTTGAATGAGCGATGCCTAAAATAGCTTAAAGTAAAAGGTGCTGCTGATGTTGTGCCTCCACAATAATTCTCCATCCTCGCATCACGTCAATACTTTCAGATAGTTATTGTGTGGCTCCTTATTTAGTCTGAGCTAAAAATGGAAGTGTACTGTGAAAAACATACACTTTAGAAAGGTTCGCCTTAGATGTGCCAGTAAATGGATCTAAGGTTAGATGACATTATCTATCTATCTATCTATCTATCTATCTATCTGTCTGTCTGTCTGTCTATCTGTCT